TTCCATAAATAAAAAAAGTTGACACTGCGCAGGCGCAAAACCAAATTTTGAAACTGGCGTTAGATTTCCCTTTATTCCAAGTGCCTATGTATCAAATTTCGTTTAAATTCTTCCATAAATAAAAAAGTTGACACTGCGCATGCGCAAAACCAAATTTTGAAACTGGCGTTAGATTTTCCTTTATTCTTAGTGCCTATGTATCAAATTTCGTTTAAATTCTTCCATAAATAAAAAAGTTGGCCCTGCGCATGCGCAAAACCAAATTTTGAAATTGGCGTTGACAAGCTAGAGTCAAGGAGCAAGTGCTGTTATTTCGTGGGCTATGGTTATGGGACGGAAGAGAATCAGAAACGCTCTCCAGAAAACAAAATAAGCGTTGACCAACCAGCGGATTTGATGACGAAGGGATAACCACTCGTCACGTTTAAGAAGCATTGCTTGAACTTGGGCATTCAATAGTGATAAGCTTGAAGAGGAGTGTTGGGATCAAACTGATCGCTATTGTTTTTACGTGTATTTATTCATAAACTGCCCCACCTCGATATTGAGCTATCTTGACAGTTGATCGTTGAGTTAATAAATATATTGACTATTAAATTGCCATTGCACCATAACTTACTGTGTTTATGAAAAGATACATTATGTTTCTAATTTGTGAACTCTAAAGGGTATTCGAAGTTAGTGAAAAATAGTTCAACATTGGAGAGAATTCACCAAAATTAATAAAACCATCCGGAAGAACTTGTTTTTTTAGACACATCTAAGGGCTTAATTATACGATTACACGGAAGAGCTCTGTATCTACATTTACCTCACAAACTGAGGTATGAACAAATTTTAGTTTCGACTTGTTTCCTTCCAGGAAAAATATTATTAATTACATATTAATTTTCCAGAATACCGCTTTGCATCTAGCCACAATGGATAGCAAACCGACAGTAATCGCCCTCTTGTTATCCATGAAATGCAAGCTATTGTACAACAAGCATGGAATGAGCGCAGTGGACTACGCCATCCACTACAAGTACCCGGACGCAGCGTTGGCTATGGTAACGCACGAAGACAGGTAACCGCCAACTTTTCCAACGAAACCTTGGAGTTAACGCCTCGTTTCAGATCTGTAGAGGTCCTTGCACTCAAATCCGACAAACATCCGTGCGTCACTTTGGCTCTGATTGCCGCAATGCCTCGCGTTTTTGAAGCTGTTCAAGATAAGTGCATCACTAAGGCAAACTGCAAAAAGGATTCGAAGTCGTTTTACGTTAGTATTTCAAATACTGTTTGGTAGAAGGTATTTTGCGCTACCATTCGCCTTTTTTTGTGGAACTCTGTGATTTGCTGCACAATTCGAACCCATCGACTTGTTACACTGTACCACGGTACGCCCCCTGACATTTTAACGTCGCTTGCGCTGTCTCCCAATCCATGGCTTCAAGTCGATCTATGTAAAAATAATTAAAAATTTAAGGGACACTTTGCTACCTCCAATTAAATGGTAAATAATCCATTACGATGCATGCGGATTCAAATTTGTAGATCGGAGTTCGTGCATTGGTACTGTAGGCCAAATAGCCCTTTTGGCATTCTCGTTAGCGATGAACCGAATTGCATGAAATTCAAACTGGGCATAGCTTTAGCGATATAATGCGCAATGTCAAAAGTTGAGCCTGATCCATTCAACATTCACAGTACCTTTTTAGCGCATTTTTGCAAATTTACATTACAGACTGGAATATACAATACAGCGCTGGTCACGACGCCATTTTCTCCTATTATAATAATTAAAAATTTAAGGGACACTTTGCTACCTCCAATTAAATGATAAATAATTATGTTACGTTTTCCACGCTAGCTACCTATTTTAAAGTAACAATAAATCAAAATACCTTTGTTGGTAAATTAGTGGTTAAATCCCGATAAACAGAGATTAAAATTTACCGCCCGAAAATTGCGCAGCAAGTCACAGCACAACAAGTGCCGTTACAAGAACAGTCGATGGGATGCTCACAATACCTTCTAGTAATGTGAACAGCTCGCTTTTAACTAGCAATTTCAGATTAAGTACAGCTTCACCTGCTTGGAGTGTCCCGAATTCTACGCAAACATGGACGGGAAGACCGGAGAAGCTTTGAGCATTTCAAAACCAATTCCACTACCGGCCTTGAATGTAAGTACCACACAATTGTTGTACGAGTGACACTCTAATGTTGCTCCAGGCAATGGTGAGCCATGGAAGAGTCGAACTCCTAGCGCACCCGCTCAGTCAGAAGTATCTGCAGATGAAATGGAATTCCTACGGGAAATACTTTCACATCGCAAATCTCCTGTTCTACTCCATATTCCTGAGCTTCGTCACTTGCTTCACATCACAACTGATGGCTCACGAGCACCCACCTGTCGATTTCTACCGCCAGTTTTACATGCCTGGAGCACACCACTTCCCACAGTCGGCGATGTGGAAGGAAAAAATGAATAAAACCTACGACGTATGTAGCGAAACCTTGGGAAAGAGCAATATTCCATTCTTATATTTCAGGAGTACTTGGCCAGTACCAAGACCGACATACTGAAGGTGAAGGTCACTCCAATGATGTACATTAGCGCCATGGGTATCGTGGTGTACATCGGCCTAAGCTCGGTGCGCGAGCTTATACAGTTATACCAGCAGAAATTTCTGTACTTCATGGACCCGACGAACTTAGTCTCTTGGCTGCTGTACATTTCGGCGTCGATAATGGTGTTTCCGTTATTCGGCGGCACCATTACAGAACTACAGTTCTCATTCGGATCAGTATCGATATTTTTGAGTTGGCTAAACCTGCTGCTTCTACTGCAGCGGTTCGATCAGGTCGGCATCTACGTCGTCATGTTTTTGGAAATTCTGCAAACGCTGATAAAGGTGTTGATGGTGTTTTCAATTCTAATTATAGCCTTCGGACTTGCGTTTTACATACTGTTGTCAAGAGTAAGTGCTTCAAACTTTTAATGCGTGGGGATTTTGGATAATAATTGGTTACCCTCCGCATTAAACCTCTTCAAAAATATGACACACGCGAATTTTCATTTGCCTGTATCCAAAACTATATTCAACTATTAATTTTGAAAGATGATTGCTCGTTGATATAAAATAGTGCGATCCTTATGGAAAAGATGGTGCACGAAAGCTGGACAATACCGAAACAAAAAATTAGATGTTGCAATTTTCTTGAATCTTCCTCGTTCAATTAGGTACTTTTTATTCTATGGAAATTATGTATCGGGCAACAAACTTTCTATTTATATCGACTGCACTAAAACTACGCCTTGAAGAACACGAGTTATTATTAGAACTCTTAAAAAGGCAAATCGAGTTCAAGGCTAAACCTCGAAGCTAATCAATTTTCACTTTTGAATTGTAACATTTATTAATCAAAACGCCATAATTAGCTTCAGAACGGCAAGTGAAATTCTTTCTGCGTGTTATAATTTTATAACTTTATGCGATGGTTCTTTCCAAACACAAACTTGCACATATGCTTATTTGACGAAAAACAGTTTATTTCCACAGCTTTTTTCGTAATTCAGATACCTATAGCTTTTCTTGAATTTGGACTCATGAGCGGGTATTTTTTCTACTAATTTTTTTGCCCTACGCCGTTGTGTTACTTTCAGCTGCACAGTTGACGCTCCGTAGCTCAAAACCGAACAAATGAAAAAAAATCTCCCCGGAATAATCCCTACCTATTTTTTTATGAATTAATTAAGTGAACCTGTTTATTACTTTCTGTCAATTGAGGGCCAACTTAACGTTTTTAAAAGTTACTTTTTTTTAACATGTTTTCATACGAAATTGTACTCTCAGGTATGCGCTGAAATGCGCCGTAAAAAGATATCTTTGCGCCATTCTTGTTTTTTGGTTATCCTTAAATATATTTGGGAGGGGCCAAGTGAACGGAACCCCCCATAACGCATTTTGCTACCGGTATTTGTGCCACTCGATACATCTGGTTATGCGCTCAATTGCGCCACTTGAATTAAACCTAGCGCCATTACGGTTAAGCCATAAAAAATTTTTAAAAAGTGGAGGGTCTAGCGTTTTCAAAAGTTACGTTTTTTAACATGTTTTTTCTACTACATCGTACCTTTCATCATGCGCTAAAATGAGCCGTAAACATAAATCTTTGCGCATTATAGTTTTTGAGAACCTTTTTTAGTACCTATAGAACTATAACGCTATTCATTTTAAGAAGGTAGCGGCACGATACACTTACAACGGTATGCTCTTGCGCATCTAGCGTGACGTCACGTGCGAACAAAACCACAGAATATAAGAGCAAAATTACGATGCTTAGATCGACAAATCACAAGGTTAGTTGACAAATCATACTGATTTGTGTAGAGATCCTCGCGTAAGTTATTTCTGGGATTTCGTGATCGTATGAAATAAACTCTAACCAAAAACATTGGCCCTAAACATGAAATGCGGCTGTTTCAGTAAAAATTATATAATTAATGCATTATCAAAAGATCTAATCGCTCCTCCGTGTCCCTTTTATTTTGATTTTCATTATTACGCGGTAGTTTTAAAGTAAGTAAAGCATCAGGTTTCAAACATCCGCTGTTTTTAAAAGTAGGTCTAATTAAGGAGTCGTTCCCTTGCGGTGCTTCAAAACGGCTGGCTTCAAAATGTTCATAACAAATACAGGATATAGGATTAAACAGCAATGGAAAGACTTAAACACACCACTTAATAATAATGCAACACCATTTTTCAAGGTAATTTTGTCCTTACGACGACTTGCAGCAATCCATTTTAGAGAAAAGTCTTCAATTTTCGGAAATCGAAAGTACCTATTTTATTTCCACACACAACCTGGCATTTTGGAATTTTCACTAATGATTACTTAGCTATCAACAAATTAATGCTTAGCTATCAACAAATTAACGCTATAAAACTCGTAAATACAACTGAAAAGGTGCAAACTGTCACGCGTGACATCTGTACTGGATTTTTCCGTGCGTAAACACTTGAATTTTGGCGCCACACGTTCGCAGGTGACGTAATGCGCAGTAGAAAACGCGTTTGAGAAAAATAATGAGCATACCGTGTGTAAGTGTATCGTGGGTAGCGGTAGAAAGCATAAGGACAGTTTAACCTTCACTGTGATTGGTTAAAACGAGTCACCATTACCCTGAAAAATAAAACGACTGACAAATTCTGTCTGTTAGAAGCTTAGACTATGAAAGAGAGGGGACCCGTAATAGAGAGCGCACGCGTGAAGCAAATTGCGATCATACTGCCACCACCAGTGGCGCCCGCTCGGGTATTACATTATAGGAAATTACAATTTATTTATACTGCCATCATGGTATGATTAACCTGTGTGTACAGTTGTCGGACATAATATTGGGTTCTTATTTGAATAGAGAGACAAAAAACGCGATAAACGTAAACATACGACCCGACTTTGATCGTTTCAGAAACTGGGTGCGCGATATAAGCGCACATATACCTTTAGTAAAATTCTGCACACCCCGTTTTTGAAGCGATCAAAACTGAAAAAGCGTAAATTATAAAAGAGTATAATATACGGTATTTATGTTCCTTATGCTCCAATAACACTTTGCAACACATTTCACTTTTAATTAATGCACACATCTTTCTGGTGCCCTGCAAATTATTTAACAATTTGTTCAATATTGCAGAGTTCATGCTTTTTGAACAAACATTTATTGCAATATCTTTCCACTTCTATTTCATTGTTCCAATTAATTGAAGCATTAATTATTTGTTAATTGCTTCCTTACGACGGACAAGTTATATAGAATAGGGATTGTATCCAGAGGAATACAACTCTCCACCCCACTATCTCACAACTCTGTTGTAATCAGCAAGCGTTTGTAGGTATATGCACTTTCAAACTGCCTTGAGGTGGGGTTGTTATTCTATCCATCCCTTGATCTTTTGGAAGAAGAAAATAATTCCAGATGGTCCTGGCTTATTTTAGGATCCTTCGCAAAAAATACATTGCCGTTTCCCTATGGTGCGTACTACCTGGGACACATTGTATCTTTTTCTTCCCGATATATCTGCTTGCTTGTGAATGGCAGTCAGCGCTTCTGATGTGAATCCTGGGGAACAATTGACTGATTTATACAATTTGCCGATGGTGCACACCATTATCATACACTGTTCTGACATAATTTTACCCTTTTGGAGACCGATCATTAGGTTATACAGTATACACTGTTTGCGGCTAAGTGCGGAGAACCAGGTGATCATGCACCAACAAAGTAATTAATGAACTGTAATCTATCTTGATTGATACACTTCTTATCAGTTTGGTTACCATGAAGGAAAATAAAGTACAACGTTAGTAAATAATTCTTATATTGAAAACTGTACAAATAAAATAAATGTACCTATATTCTTTTCCGAGTGAATCTTGAGGGCAAACGCAGCTGATGGTTTCAGAATGGGAAATTATTTCTAAACAAAATAGCAACCATAAAATAGAATAAATGAATTGGAATACTCACAATTATACAACAGGCTTTGGCAATAAAGCCCTAAGCAGTTTCTTGTACTTCAGTAATAAGCTGTTGATACTATAGCAAACCGTTGACGATGACGACGGTGATAATATTGAATGGAGATGTCGTCTCCCCTAACGGGTTTAATCATAACGATTTTCCTTCAGGATATCGTCTTTATAGAATGTGGCGGCGATCGATGTGTATTGCTTCGAACATCGATCGATGACCTCTCTCTTTTGAAGACCAAATCCTATCTGTCGTACTAGATGTAAGTACAAAGGCAACATACACTGTAGTTAAACTACTCCATACAAAGTAATCAGTCGCCTAAGGGTAAGGCATCCAAACATGTACCTATCTGTTACGTCATGTAACTAGATAGTCCGGGGTTCCGTTCACTTGGCCCCTCCCAAATATATTTAAGGATAACCAAAAAACAAGAATGGCGCAAAGATATCTTTTTACGGCACATTTCAGTGCATACCAGAGAGTACCATTTCATATGAAAAGATGTTAAAAAAAAGTAACTTTTAAAAACGTTAAGTTGGCCCCCCACTCTTTGAAAATTTGTCACGGCTTAACCGTAATGGCGCTAGCTTTAATTCAAGTGGCGCAATTGAGCGCATAACCAAATGTATCAGGTGACCTAGTTACAAGGGACAAAATACGTACTGGGGGGGGCTACGTTCACTTGCCCCCCCCCCCAATGTTTTTTCGGATTTCTAAAAAACGATAATGGCGCAAGAGTTATTATCGGTGACGCATATGAGCGCATAACGAGCGCAATCATTTTAAAATAATACGGCTATCAAATCTTACAGTGGGGGGACCAAGTTAACGGACCCGTTATTTTGGTAGTTTGATTTGCTCTTGCATATAAATAACTGACACGCACAAACGCTCCTGTGCTATCAAGTTTCGAAATCACTATTCAACAAACATGAAGGTTCTTTCACTTTTCTTTGAGCACGGAATCAGTACATATACAGGACTTAAGAAATAAAACGGAGCATGTATAGACGCTAAAGTTGCTAATTCATTCGTCATATAAAAGCTACTAGACCAAAATCCCTACCTTGTCTTTCTTCACCTTTGACATCATAATCATCCGACAATCCCATTGCAGGGAGAGCACCTTTCATTTCGCACAATCCCGATGTCGTTGATGCGCGCCTTCTCCATGATGCTCGGCGAGATCGACTTTCTCGGCACGTTCGTCGAACCCTACTATCTCAGAAAAGAGGATGGCAGAACCTTACCGTTTCCGATTCCGGCGTTTCTAATCCTCGGCGTGTTCATGGTACTAATGCCGATCCTCCTCATGAATTTGCTTATCGGTCTCGCGGTTGGCGATATCGAATCTGTTCGGCGAAACGCTCAACTGAAGCGTTTGGCAATGCAGGTAAGTAAGTCCACGGTTGTTCGGTCGCGATAGATGCATTGAGCAACTCTATAGGTGATATTGCACACCGAATTGGAGACCAAACTTCCCAAGATGCTATTAGAGAAGATCGACAAGAGCGAACTAATCGAGTTTCCCAACAATACAAAGTGCAAGTTGGGTTTCTTCGATTCGATAATTCGCAGATTTGGTAATCCGTTTTCCGACGATGGTAAGCGAAAACTTGGTATAGGTCATTACCTTATATATACTTCTTGGTGTCGTTAATTTGCTTACAAGTTATGAGGCTGTATTTTTGCTACAGCCCCAGTACTGATAGATACCTCTAAACTGACATTGATCAAACCAGATGCATTTGTAGCATGTTTTCTTTACAGGCAACAAAGAGTTGTATTTACCCAATCAAAAGAAAAAGCCAGGTGGTACTGGTAGGAGCATGATTTTAGTGTGTGTATACACTCGTGTCGTTTTGCATGTACTCGTCTGTGAAATGTAAGTGTAAGTGTACGAAACCATTACGCACCTTTCTCGTTTTTATATGAGTGAGCATCTGAGCAATGCACCAGTTGAGTAAGGAACCACAATAAGTCTCTTTTCGTAAAATGTTAATATTTTCTTCTCAACTATGCACTGTACCATGCACCAGCGCAAAATTACTATAACTCATATCTCAAATTGTATTTGGATTCCCTTGGGCTTATGGTAAATGATCACAAGCTTCTTTCACTTACAATCAATCGTAAAACCACCAAGTTTCAAGTCTCTAGAACTCTATTCAAGGCAGACGAGCGGACACACTGGTGGACAAAAGTACGATTTTAAGAAGAGCTTGTAGGATTATATCTAAACTAGAATAAATATCTAGAAAATATTTAAACATACCCTAAATAAAACACCTAAACTCGGGCTCGATTTAACTCAACACTCCATGACCAGAAGCAAGAGGAATGTGCACGTCCGAACATTCCGACTTTTCCAACTGAATAGCAATAAACGTGTAAACAAATATAGAAAACCAGCTCCTGTGTATGGCTATAGCATGTGCAAAAGCAAATTTTGAACCTGGTGTTAGTGTTGCTTTTATTTAAAGTGTATATGTATGAAATTTCATTTAATTGCTTCCATAAATAAGAAAGTTGGGACTGCACATTATGCATAAAACCAAATTTTTTTTAGTCCAAGTGGTCAATTTCATTTAAATGTTTCCATAAATAAGAAACTTGGCACTGCGCATGCGCAGAACCAACTTTTGAAACGCGTTAAATTTGCTTTTATTCCAAGTGGCTATGTATGAAATTTCATTTAAATACCTTCATAAATAAGAAAGTTTGCAATTTGGTTTATAAATGGTCGAGATGCGAAAAGGGCAATGTGATTAGGATTAACTTTCGAGTTTCATATGGCTAAAGCTAAACGGAGGTGTCAAAAGGGCTTTCTTTATTTTTTGGCCTTATTGCCAATTCACGAACTCCGATCTACAAATTTGATTATCATTCGACATATCGTGCTAACGGATGGACGGACAGAGGGACAGACACATCAAAATTATACACTCGCTAGGAGCTCGTGAATAAGTGTAACTTCTATTTGCGGATCAAGCGAAGTCCGCCCACCAAGTCGAATCGAGTCGGTGAGGCAAATCGTCATCGGAGTGTTAAACTGGTCAGTCGAATGTGGCCGGTGGATCATGTGGTCTCTGAGGATTAAATCGGATCGGCAAGTAAAATTGGAGTGGGACGTGTCTTGAGTCAGACATTTTCCTTCTAAAAGGGAAGCGAATATGAGATCGTGGTCAAGTCACATCGTGGAATTGAGTCGGATACACGGATCAAGTCGACTTTGAAGGCTAAATCACATCAATCAATGGAAATGCGTTCACAGATCCTTGTCAATCCAAGTCGAGTTTATCTTGATTCGGGGGTTAGATGGGGTCTGTTTTGTAACTGAAGGGTCAGAGTAACATCGGCGAGATTATTACTTTTTGGCGGATCAATTTTACCAAGTTGAGTCGGCGAAACAAATTGGATGCAGGATTTACATTCGATCGATAAAAAACCGAACGCAAAGTTGTCGTTGGGCCAGTCGGGTGTGGTCGTTTAAGAATTAGTTCTGTATGAGCCCCAGAAGATCGCTGCTTTAATCCGTGGATCACATTAAGTCCAGGGATCAAGTCGAATCAGGTCGGGCTTGAGAGTTAAATTGGATCGGCAACTATAATCGGGTACGTGGATCTAGTGTATCGGCCTGTGTCGGTGTTCAATCGGTTTGACCAGTCTGGTTTCTTAAATGTCAGTTTGATCTGATCGTGGAAATTATTTCTATTTGCGAGTAAATTCAAATCTAAGAATTAAATCGACTCGGATCGAGGAGTCATGACAGGTACAGCCGGGTACACTGGCCGCTTAAAGGACACTCAAAATCTTCGCGTGTGAGAATCCTGACCTCTTTTCTCTGAAGGAAGAGAATAACCTCGCCTATACATGCTTAGGTAAAACTAAGTTGACGAGTCGGGCCAGAGGATTAAACAGTATTGGCAAATAAAACCTGGTCCAATAATCTCGTTGGATTCGTAGATCAGTCGGGTTCACGTGTCGAGTCGGTTAATCGACCCCGCGCGTGGGAGACGGATGGAATAGTTCCAGGTCTGGATCGAAAAGTAAAAACGGACACGGATCGTGGCTTGCCGAATCTGCACCTACGAACATCGTAACTTTTTTCACCTGTTCGTGATCGTTTCTGGGTGTCTGCAAAAGCCCAAGGATCTGGTCATGTCGGCAAGTAAAATCGCATCTCGTCAGGCCACAAGGGCCAGTCAGGTTTGCAAGTCAGCTTCCTTTTTTTTTAAATTGGGAATGAGGAAATTCCTGCTGCACCCCCTGCTGTAGCGTAATGGCGTGCCTCTATCCAGGGGGAGTGTGGGGCTTGCACCCACTGAAACCCTTCTCCCAGTTCCCCAACGTAGCGGGTATCACCAATTGTATTCTTCCGCTCGTGTGGGGGGGGGGGCTGCCTTACTGTTCTCTTCTCCTGGCCTCTATTTCTCTCGTCCTTATGACCGGCGTGATGAAATTATCAATTTTCTTCCAGCTGCTCTCTCTACCGTCTATAACACTGTCTTCCTCTATTGGATCCCATCTCTGACACTGTAGTACCGCGTGTCCTGGTGAGTCTCTCCCTCCGCAGTCCTCACATGTGTCGTCTTGAAACTTTTTGATCCTATGAAGGTATGGTGCGTTTACACCATGTCCGGTCAGGAACTGTGTTAGGTGGAAATGTACTTCCCCATGTTTCCTCTTATGCCATTTTTGGACGTCTGGGATTAGCCTACTAGTCCAGGATTTCCTATTTCTCCACTCCTCCTGCCATCGGGCCAAGGTCTCTTCTCTAGTGCCCCCTTCTGCTCTCATCTCAGCTTGGATGTGTAGCGGTATTACGCCCGCCACGACGCAAAGGTCTTTATTGATTACTGTTCGATATGCCGAGACTATTTTCAGGGTCATTATTCTCTTGACCTTCTCCAGGTTTTCCTTACGATCCTCAGCTTAGCCGCTTTTCCCCACACTTCCACTCCGTATAGTATGGCGTTGGTAACCGCAGTGCTAATGACTCTTCTCTTGCCTGCGCTTGGCCCCCCTACGTTTCTAAACAGGCATTGTAACTTCTTCGCCATGGCCTTGGATTTTTCGGCCCGATTTCTTATATGATTGACAAATTTTAAACTGCTGTCTATCGAGACGCCTAGAATCTCTATTTCCCGCTCCACCTGCACGTCTACGCCCCCAATCCTCACGGCTTCCTGGGGTATTTTCCGTCTCCCTACTATAGCCGCCGCCTTAGACTTTTCCCTCACTAGCTTTAACTTGTTCAAGCTCATCCACGTGTCTATTGCTTCTACGGTGGTGTCAATTCGTCGCTTCGCCTCCTCCAGTTTCCTGTCCGTAGCCACTATGGTGAGGTCATCCGCGAAGGCGACTATTTTGACCTTCCTCGGCACCCTCATGCTCACTACTTCATCATACACAATGTTCCACAGCAGGAGTCCCAGTACTGAACCCTGCGGAACTCCTCCATCAACTTCTACATGACATGTATTTCCCGAGGGTAGCCTCACCTTTACTCTCCGATCTGTTAGATAAGTATAAATAAGTTTAACCATTAACTTCGGAGCTCCCGTACTCTCTACGGCCCCCACTATCACTTCCGTGGGCATACTATTAAACGCATTCTGGACGTCTAGGGATGCCATTAACACCACCTCCCTGGTCCGCCACGTTCCGCCTTGGCCGTCCTGGCAGTCTCTACGAGGCTTCCTTTGTTTCTCTCCCTTTCACGAAGCCATATTGGTTTGGGGAGGCATTCCATATAGATTTTATTCGTGCCGCAACTACCCTCTCGAATAGCTTCCCCAGGCGACTCAATAATGCTATTGCTCGAAAATTTCCCCAGTCTTTCTTTGGGATCAGGACAACGTCTGCCTTCTTCCACATTTGCGGGTACTCCCCTTCTCTCATAACTGTATCGAAGGCGGTGGTCAACAACTCGGGGTCTTTCTTGGCCACCAGAGCCACGTAATCCGCGGGAAATCCGTCCGCCCTGGAGCTTTTTTCCTTGGCATCATCTTCGCTGCCTCCATGATCTCGTTTTGGTCGACTTTTTTTGGGGTCTGTAGATCCTCCATCGTCATCCGCCATTCCGGTTTTATTCTTAGTGGAAAAAGTGTCTGGAACTGTTCCTCGATTTAGGTAAAACTCCAATGGAAACAACAGCAGCGAAGCTATGGAATGGCTACAAAAGGTGAATACCAGCGGAATGCTACACAACTGACCAGAAGAACTAAATTGTAAACTGCAAGAATCCACTTAATGTGGCGATTAGGGATTGGTTTCACGTTAGAAGGGTGAAAATCCGTTCGTGGCCAGAATTTGAATTCGAGTTCAAGGCAACTTTTGTCTTACGTGAAAGTGTGACAGTCTGGAGAAACGAGTACAAACACAATGTGAAGATGTTGAAGTGTATTTCCATGAAAACCTGAGATTGCACAACGCGTTAAATTTAATTTTCAGCGAATGTAAAGAGCAAATTGTGTGAGGATTGACACAGAAAATTCCGGGTTTAATGGTCAAGGAACATAGCGATGCCAATGATATATTGCATGATATCGTACTCCTGCAATGAGTAACACGAACCGGCGAGATATAAAAAAGGTGGCAAACCGAAACCAGCAGTGCGATGTTTCAATTGTGCGTCCGAGGGACATTACGCCAATGAATGTCCGCGTCCGAGAGATTATAATGCGGGTTATAACCGGGTCATACAAAGGAGAACTGCACGATACGGAACCGACTGGTAATGAGCACACCTAAAAATAAACTTGAATTTGAAAAAAAATTGAATAATTTCAAGCAAATCTCTCAATAATGAATGCTTCAGGTTTCTTTGGTACCACTATTTCAACCCCTCCGGTTCTCACAATTAAATTTGTTCAAGATATAACGGTTTTCACCTCCTTTGATGCCGATTTCTATTATTTGGTTGCAATTTTGACAGCTCTTTTTTTAAACAGAGAAACCACGAGTCCCGAGCATTGTCTTTACAAGACACATCAAGCAACGATAATCATAAAATGGCATTTCATTTTTGCTAGCTTGCACGAACCCGTGTGGAATGGTTTTCAGACACCTTCTGTAGTAGCATACGTTCACCATTCCTATAGTAACACGGTTTCTCCGTTTAGGACTGGATCTGATGATCGAAAGCAACGAAGACTTTATCGCGAATGAAATAGAAAAGACAAAAAGAAAGCTAAGAGACATATCCTCAGCGTTAGAAACTCAGCAACAACTGTTGCGCCTAATTGTGCAAGTAAGTACATCACAAAGTATGCAAAAAATGTGTACGTTTCTTTGTTGCAGAAGATGGAGATAAAAACTGAAGCGGACGATGTCGACGAGGGCGTCTCGCCGAATGAAATTACTCAATCGGCAGGGTCGGGCAAATGGACATCTCCAAATATACGTAAAAAGCTACGGACGGCGTTGAGTTTTAATAAACCGTCGCCCTAGGATCTTTATATGTTTGTAACTCACTAGGTATATTAGAAATGGATCTCTATATTTTTGGGCAGAAATTATATTTTGTAAGAAATTGGAAAGCGACTTAGCGTCGTAACATGTTTGTATGTTCCCTTCGAAACTGTCTGTGGTACCTAAATGTTTAAATTTTTTAAATGTAATAAAAAAATGTGAAGAATTGTGCTTCGTTTGTATATACTCTTATAACTAGCTTGCCCGTCCTGTGGCGTCAGATCTTAAAACTCGATCTGCATTGTGTTGCTTTTATAGAAACGTGTCCATTTTTATCGAGGATGTTCCTGCTAAGTAAATACAGCAGCGGGAGTAGTTATCGGAAAAATATAAGATGGATATCGGACTACCCGTCTTTTAAGCGCGCACATTTTGAACGCCGTCTGCCGGTTTTTTCTACAACTCATTAACCATGAGCATTCAAACTTCAATACTCATTAATTCAAGTAACCCCTAGTCTAATTGGAATTTTTCGACGCAACAACTGTTGTTGATATCTACACCTCGGCATGTCTGCAAGACTGATAACGAGTAAACAAATCGATTTGTAACTCATTTCTATCCTGGTTTTCACTGGGAATCTAAAATTAACGGGGCTGAAATCTTCCCTGGCAAGAGAGCATTACGGCGGCTGCAAAAAAAACAAAACTCCCTGAACGGTTTGAATCCAGATAAATTAATTACAAAACTATGTGCTGAGTGGCGGTACAATAAAATATAAACACAGACAACTCACTCCTCGAGCAAATAATTAAATTCCGGTACTCTTTCGTAACGAAGCGACAAACTCGAACCCGGGTGTTCAGCAACGCTGGTCGACTTCACAAATATACAGTGCGGTCATAACTTCGGGTATGAACTTAAGGGCGAAAAATGGGTGCTTCGTTACATATGTAAGAACCATACTTTATGGTAGTCCTTATTAACGAAAAAGTAAAATATTAACGCAACCCCTATTTGATAAATGTAGCAAGCTGAGGGGGCAAGTATGCGAGATTGTACATAGATGAGTGCAAGGGCCTTAAGGCAGTTACGTGGCGTACGCGCTCTGGTCACGATCCTAGGGGATCCTAAGTAGGTCATGGAAAGTATTAGTGAGTTTGGCGTAATTGTCCTTTTAATGTAAGTGACTCCTACGTGAAGGTTGTGAGCTAATAAATGAGCAGCGACTATTGTGCTCCTAGGCTCCGAGAATGCATAAGGAGCATGATCATGATGATTATAGTGATGAGTGATCTTAGTCGCCCGAATAGGTCAGGGTGTCGACCCAATCGGAGACCACATTGCTAGCAAAAAGAATTCAGAGGCGGTGCGCGTGCCCCTTTCTCAAGTAGGTATGAGCTCCACCTTAAGCCTTCAGGATATCGTCTCCTACGACACGTTAGACCCCAATTGCAGTGTTCGGAGATCCAGGATAGCTTAGCACTAGCTCGAGACGGGAGGCTCCTCGGTGAGTTACTTAATGAATTGGCGATGATCGTGGAGAAGCAGTCGCGATGCTTTTTTACATGGCCCTCGAGATGTCCATGAACTTGGCAGGCCTACTACAGCAGACCATGGTTCTGCTTACTCATATCGTTAGTGTTCCGTTAGTGCACGTTAGTGCCGCTGAAGAAATCGTTAGTGCACAAAAGGACACAAAAGGATCCCTTGCAGCAGTAACGTTCGAATGTGAACCACTAACGAGCCGCTTCAAATTCGCATTAGGACAGGGCCAATTTGACAAATGTGCGTCTGCTGCATGAAATTAGCAGACCCCAACTACCACTAATACTTACCGGTCGATTAAAGTAGAAAATCAAACGGATTTCGTTCGTTGGTCTACTGGCGTAAACTTGGCAGGTCTCAATATGTCAAGTTTAATTTTGAGGTGGTTTGGTACCTTTTTGGTGTGGATCGCTTGCAGCACTAACGTTCGCATGCGAAGCACTAACGAGCCGCTTCAAATTCGCATTAGGACAGAGCCAATTTGACAAATGTGGGTCTGCTGTATGAAGTTAGCAGACCCTTTTTTACAACGTTTTGAGCTGTTACACTTTGAGCACTAACCTTTATATTGGCGGCACTAACGAGCACTAACGCTGCTAGTTCAACTAGTGTAAAGATTGAATCGATTTTCTCAAATGGGTCTGCTGGCATGAAGTTAGCAGGCCCACAAATATTTTTTAAAAATAGTAAGTTTCCTTTTGGGTACTAAGGATTTCTTCAGCGGCACTAACGTGCACTAACGAAACACTAACGATATGAGTAAGCAGAACAATGGTCTGCTGTAGTAGGCCTGCCAAGTTCATGGACATGCCTCGAGTGCAAAAAGACGACCAGTCAGGCTAAATGCTGCCATGTCGCCGTTATGGTCGGAGTGATCGAGAATAGAGGCGTTTTTCAATCCATGCGTGGTACCAATTAATCAGTTTGGGATGTCTGATTTAAAATTTGAAGCTACGGGCACCGTTAGTGTATATAGAAACACCGGCTCGAAACAGTATCACAATTCCTACTTCAACATCTTTTAAAACAATGATAGCTTGCTATATGAAGGAAATAGTGTTTTTATTTAGCTTTGATGATTTTGCATTTTGGAATTCATATAGGTTCATTGTGTAATGTAGTGTCACATACCTTTCAGCGAGTACAGTTTTATTGCACAAATTTGTAGTTCAATTTTTGCGTACCTACCTAAGTTTGTGCTGTATGTAACAAAAGGTAATATGCTTAGTTGTAATTGTAATTCTTCGGCCTCATTGTAAATTGTATCGCCTTTAATTGCTTGTAACTGTGGGTAGGTAACCCTTGAGCGAATTTGCTTGTTTCACTTTCTTATTTTGATTTGTTTAAGATTGGCCAGCTGTTAATGCTCATCCAATGTTTAAACTCATTAGCCACTTCAATACTTTTGTGTATGGATCTGCATTTTTTGAATGTCATTAACTGTTTCGCCAGTGCAGTGGTAAATGCCGAAGTTACAAAATTACTTCGCGGCATTCATCTCGAAATACAACTTTAGTCTAAAAATTACCGAATCGAGGGCCTTACATACATTCTGGATTGGAGGAGGTCCGGCTAACTAACCATGTATTTCATGTACTGGATCTGAGAGACTTCGGAATGTTATTTTTCACAGATGGGAGAGGAGTGGAGTTGCTTTTAAATTTGTTTGTGTTGGTTACTTTTAAGTTTTCAGTTTATTGTTTGCAATAATGAAGTTTGACACATAGTAATCTAGATACCTGTAATTATGTTTAAATTTTAAATGTCATTTTTAAGATTAAAGCAGCAATTGCTTTTTCCTTTCCTCACTAGAGAGGAAAATCACATTTTCTTCACCCGTTTTAGAGAAGTAGTTGTTTCTGTAGTAGTTTCAGAAAAAATCAGTTCCTTCGCGCCCTCTGGTGCACAAAACTGTAATAATATGTTACCATCTGTTGAATGATGTTAAATGTGTTGGTGAACTGAATTTTAGTATTTCGTGATGACATATGTATACATAATCAAAGAACTTTAGTTCAAAGAGAGAAAAAAGAAATTCTGGCGATCAATTGCGTATATTTTTATGTAATAATAATAATATTTAATAATAATATTTAATTGCCCAACAGAACAAAAATTATTCCAATTAGAGGACAATATTGTGTAATACTACAGACGGCACATCAAAATAACATAAATTAAGCTACCAATACATATATAGGTATATATAGAAATTGATTCAAAACCCATTAAAAATCAACAATCATATTTAATGCAATTATAACTAAGAGTATCTAATGCAAAATAAATGGGTCAATGCAACTTAGTAAGTTGTTTAAAGCAGAACTGAAAATATCCTTATTTCCGCAAAATTTATTATATATTCTAGATAAATAAAAAATCGGCGACATAAATAACACGTTAGTTCTTGGTAGTGGGAGATGAAATGGTAAACTATTGCGAGAATGGTAAGGCGGTACAAAAAAGTTAATTTGGTACAGTAAGTCAGGAGCATCAGTCCTGTGATGCAGGATGTTAAATAGAAATGCTATGTTACATTTTAACCTTCTAGCCTCTAAACTAGCGACATGAAACTGGTTTAACAATGCAATATGGGAGTATCCTCTAGGAGGGTAGACGTAATTCACTTTATAATAAAGAAATTTGAGGAATTTCCTTTGAATAGATTCAAGGGAATGTCTATGTTTCTTAGTTGTAGGGTACCAAATTGGTGAACAATATTCAAGCTTACTTCTAACTAGAGCAAAGAACAATGATTTAAGCGCTACAACGTTTTGGAGTAGTTTACAGTTCCTAAATATAAAACCAAGCGCAGACATTGATGAGCGAGATACTGCAGTAACATGATGTGAAAACGAAAACTTACTGTCAAAGTAAACACCGAGATCTTTCACCACATCAGTTCTTAGTAGTTGAGAGGAATCAAGCATATAACCATAAGCAATCGGCGAATGTTTTTTTGTATAGCTAACTATTTTACATTTAGCACTATTCAGTAGCAAAGAATTAGTCAAACTCCATTGCACAAGACTATTTATCTGTTGTTGCAAAAAGTCACAGTCACTAGTAGACGACACTTGCGTGAATAGTTTTAAATCGTCTGCGTATAACAGTGCACCACACTTCAGTATATCAGTTAAGTCATTTATATACAAAATAAACAAAAGTGGCCCCAAAATTGAACCCTGAGGCACACCAGAAGTAACCATCACAAAATCAGAAGAAAAATTGTTATATAAAACACGCTGAAATCTATTGCTTAAGTAAGACTTGAAAAGCATTTGTAGATTATAGTTGAAGCCAAAGTTGTGGATCTTCGCAATAATGATGTCATGCGGAATGGTATCAAAGGCTTTACTAAAATCTGTATAAACGACATCAACTTGACCGCGTTTGTCGATATTCTCAGATATAATGTGCGATAGGCACGCTAGGTTGGTAGTTGTGGATCTGTTTTCCATAAATCCATGCTGGTGGATTGATATATGTCTTCTTACATTCGGGTATATCCTAGCATATAGAACGATTTCATAAATTTTTGCGAAGTTGTTTAAAATGCTCACAGGTCGATAATTTTTGACATCTCTAGAGTCACCGTGTTTTAAAACAGGCGTAATATTAGCGCTTTTCCACCTATCAGGAAACACATTTGTTGCTAATGAAAGATTAATGATACGTG